GCCAAATCTCAAACGGGGGGCAATATCACCAGATCTTCATTCTTCCCAGGGTTGTTCCGTACATGAAAATGGGAAATAGCCACGGCTCTTCTTGCTAAGCGCATAATTTCCTGTCGTCCAACCTAAATATCAGTTCTCAGTTGAGAGCACCCAATTCCTCCTCGAGCCTCTCCCTCCTTTGCTTGAGTTCCTTGAGCCCTTTCTCCCATTTCCTCTGGATCCTCAAGCAATTCTCGCGTTTTCCTTGAGCAGCTTGAGCTCTAGCTTGTATTCTTTGTCAATGCTCTTCATTCCGCGCTTCACATGATTCCCAATGCGAGCCGATTCCTTTTCCAGACGACGGCACTATCGTAGCAATCTGGCTGCTTTCCTACTGTGAACATCGGCGCCCATGTTACTCACCGGCAAAGCACCATCGACAACACCCGCAATGCCACCAGGAGAAACAGAAGTAGCTGCTTGGGCAGTGACAGCTGCTGTGATGGCAGCGCAACTGGGAGAATCAACACCAGCAGTCGAGAGAAATGGGGCCTGGCCAGCTTGTTCGCCGGTGCGAGCGCGAGCAGTGGAGGTGGTTGGGACTGGGCACTGAGCCAAAGGAACAGAAGACATGGGCTCAGCCAAGGTCTGACTGAAGTCCTGGGAAACACCTCGTAGCAAAGCCCCTACTCGCTCATGCTCCTTTTGCTGCTTCAGCTCTAGCCGCAAAGGCTCCTGGTTACTCACGGGCGGAGCAGACGTGCTCCTCTGTGGGGGTACGACAGGAAGGAAAATGGAGGCACTGAGTTGAGAGGTGATGTCTTTGACGCTTGAGAGGCCTTGTGAAGACTCGGACGAGTCAGAGCTTCTTGCTGGTCGATAGTAGACTTACAGGACTCTTTTCGGTCAATAGCAGGCTGAAGCAGGCTGACAAGAGAACTGAACAATGGACGACGAAGAGAAAAGAGACAAAGACGAGTGTAGAGGACTGCGAGTGCGGTGACTGGTCTTGGGGTTGTTGTTGGCTTGTGCGTCTCTCTGGTCCTTTTTCTCAGAGGAGCTCGAGCTTCCCGCACCACTGTTCTCTTTGTCTTTACACTCGGTAGAGCGCTGGACAATTTTGGTTGACGGTGTTGACACACTGCCCCCAGAGATGTTGCTCCAAAGATCCTTCCCATGTTCTCCTTTGGTTTCAAGACAATCGTCGTACCGTGAGTGGCCCCAAAATTGCTTGGTCCAAAGACAACCGGACTGGCAACTTCAAAAGATGAAGACGAGTGTGGAGGATTGAAAGTGTGGTGACTGATTCTGGGTTCACCGTTGGCTTGTGGGTTGTTCGGGTCCTTTTTCCCGGGAAGCTTCGAGCTTCCCACATGACTATTGTCTTTGTCTTGACACTCAATAGCACGCTGGATAACATTCGTTGTCGATGCGGTGTTATTGCTCCCAAATAAACCACCACGACCAGAGCTGCTGCTCCCAAAGATGCTTCCGATGGCTTTCTCTGACTTTAAGACAGCGGTCGTACCGTTAGTGGCCCCGAAATATCGGAATCCAAGAGAAAAGAGACTAGAAACTCCTGCACCACTGGTAGGTCCAATAAATCTCCTGCCTGCTGTTATGATCCAACCAAAGTTATGTAAGCT